GGTTTTACATTACTTCCAATATACAGGGGGGGGGGGGCCAAAAAAAAGACATTTTGCCTCCACTTCCAGATGGATTTAAGCACATTTTACTCAACTCAGACCGAACGGTTCCAACTTATTATTAAAGAGTGCATTCCATTCTATAAGAAAATCTTCATAGTGGCCACGTACGTGGACGGCATCAGAAGAATTAGCCCTGGAAACATGGTGCACTGGTCGATCTCAATGGGGTCTTCGAAGGATCGTGTACCATAACGACCCTTACTGGAAAGCTAGTTCCGAGGGGATTTGCACAGTGGTAGCTAATGCCTCTAGAAAACTATCCAACATTAAATCGATTCACGAAATTGCGTAAGAGCTTCAGGCTGAAGCTCTTACGGTAGACCTCCTTGAGCCTGACGACGGTGACAGATGACGTCATATTCTGAAGACGGTGAGGGCAGTGAAGGAGGGCCTGCGTTCACTTATAGAGGGACACTTAGGGAATACTCTGCTGAGGAACTCCCGTCAACGACAGCAATCTCTGCGAAGAAAAAAGAGCCGAAGTCCGACATAGGCAAAATGTTTTTTTTGGCCCCCCCCTGTATAGGGCGGAAGTGGTGTAGTGACAAGTGGCGCGCTTACCACGCGAGCGGTCCGGGATCAAATCCTGGGTCGTGAGTCGCCCGGGCCAACCAAGCCTTCCATCCGGGGTCGGTTAATTGGTACCAGACTGTCTGGGAGGATAAAACACTGACTTGTACATCGGCTGGCCCCCGCAAGTCATTGTATAGGCCACATCGCATTCAAACGCCACTACGAATGTACAAATGGAAGTAGAATGCGTGCCGCATCCCAAAAAGGGATTGATCAACGGCAAATGCTTTATCCTTTATTTTTTATAAAAAGGTATATAGAATGCTATCAGGAAAATATCGGATAATGATGAGTATACCAGCTTGATTATGTGAAATGAAGATAGGATCTATTCCAAGTTAGGGGGGCATTATGATGCAATTCTTCCCAGAAGCTAGGGTAACTCCGAGCCTGCGGGATTGTAGCCGCTTTTTGGAAAACAGTAACCAAATGGAACTTCCTGGTTGAGAGCAATCGCTGATCTGTGAAAAGCTGGAATGTTCGCGTTCTACACTAGTTGCACGAGCTGCATCATGATGCCCCACCCTCTTAACTAGTAGTAACCTGACGTTATATATTTTCATGATGAAAAATGGCGAAGCTCTTCGTTGAAAAGGATCTGATTCATAAAGGTAAGAAACTAGCGAGAACAACAGCGTTACATAAGGAGTTTTCTCCGTTTTGATAATCGATTTTTGTCGTGCCGTTCATTGATTGCTTACATTTTCATCTCGGTACTCGGCAGTAGTTTGTATTGCTGAACGTGACAGATAGCTGCTTATTATCACAGCTGCAGCAGCTTGCAGAGCCTCGCAACTGGAGTCTGCACGTTTTCTCTCATTGGATAGAACGGGCTAAGGCAAGATTCTTGTTTTTCTTCTATGACCCAGTTTCACCCATCTCATCTTCTCCAAGCAGTTCTAACTTGATCTAAACGCGGTTGCTGAGCAAATCACGTTTGCACTTGTTTGCTTTATATTCGAAACAATTCACTGGAGTGGTCTGTCTTTCTCCCCTGCTTCCACAAATAGAAGTCATGCTTATTAATTCTGTTGTTTTGATGGCGACGTTGGTTCGATTGGCGCAAGGAGTGTCTCGAGGACTCGTTTCGACCTCTTGCAACGTTACCCGCAGTTCATAGGTGAGCTGTTTAATTTTAGCTTTAGTCGAATTTTCACTTCAAAAAGAACTCGGTTTCACCAAAGTTAAGCGTCTGAAGGTCGTCGCTGTCGATAGGGGACAGTAAGTGGAGTACGTAACGTAACGAATCATTTCATTGGTTCGTGGAGCTTTTTGTTTATCAAATTTTCTTTGAAGATAAGGCTAGGTAATCTGTGATCACTCAGAAACATGAACTCGCGTTATCTTAATGATCGAAGTGAATGATTAGCAAAGGTTTCGGAGTGGACGGCAGAAATTGCTGCTCAGCTCCTTACCGATGCCAAGGTTTCATTCTTTAATGGATGAGTGGGGGTTATGCGTTAGAATATAAATAGAATGAAAAGAAGATTAGTTACTTCTTGGACACGTGGACGTAGTTTTTAGTGTGCAAAAAAACGACCTCATTCTTTGTGCTTTACAGAAGAAAATTAGAAAACTTCTTGGTTGTGACAGTGTCAATAAGAATGTACTATGTACCTATGCTGGGTTTCCCAATGGTTTCCACCACTTGTGTTCGATTACGACTTCGCCTTGATTGAAGTATTTCCTACCGAAGTGGCGGAGTTAAATGTAGATGTGCTGTGCTACTATGTTTTCGAAGCGACTGCGAAATTTCGAACTTTGTGCTTTCAGTCTGGACAAAGAGATTGCAAAAAGGGCAAGAGGGAGTGCATACGTAAAGGAGGTGGAGAGAGCTAGCGCATAAAAGGACACACGTATTCCGCGGACATTAGGGACAGCTCCACGATAGGATCGAATGTTCAAGAAGTGGAAATTTAATAAGTGGATAGTCAGGCGGATCCTT